TACCTGTCACTCATTTAGCTGTCTGCCTAGCAACCAAGTTGACTTAAGATTCCTCCTGCTGAGTGAGATGTAAGAATCATTGGCTAGTTAATACTATTGGTTTTGAAATCTCTACTTTCATCTAGTAAGAACTAAGAAACTCAAACTGTCCTGTAGGATGGGAGTGGTTAGATTTGTTCTTTGCAATCCCGTTTCATAATTATACAATCCAGACCCTTGACGACTACTTAAAATTCAAATTCCTCATGCCCAGGTTTACCAGTGAGTTGGGAATATGTGTGTTTCTTGGTTAAAAATGACATTAGAGTTGATTTCTTAGGCAAGGGAAATAGAGCTATGTACTACTGGGTTTCTTTTTGTCTTATATAACAGCCATTGCAATTGCTTTCAATATTGCATCATGATTAAAAACCCTCTTAAGCTTTTAGATAACAAATGACTTCAGCTCCATAAACTATAGTGGGCTTGGTGCTGTAGAACTTGCTAGAAAATCTGTTTGCAGAACACCATTTCCTTCCTATTCTTGTCACATGGTAACCATACGCAGATTTACACTTATTGTCTGTTTGGAAGAGTGAAACTGACTGTTTTCATAAGCATACTCCATTTTTAATTGGGTAATTAAGTTGCTGACATAAGCAAGTATGCAATTTCACATTAAGGTAAGGATCCGTAAAGGCATGCATTTGCATAATTTAATTTTCTGCATAGAAGATATTGAAAATCAATAGCATGATTCATAGCCCTACCATATCAGTGCCATGCCACTGTTGGTTGGCTGTGGGGGCTTAGGAGAGTACTGGGTATTAAAATTGATTGAATTTGGTTTGCTGACTCTGGAGCTTTATTTGGGAACCACACAGACTGCCAATAAAATATTAAGTCGTTTAATATACTCTCTTATATGTCTTGGACTGTTATTCAAATAATGGTCTTTAAGAATTGTTTTAGAAAACTCACCTCATCATTGATTGCAATACATTTGAGGACTTCAACTTTTGTTTTCCTTTGATGTACGCACTGCCAGTAATGCATGATTATGTTGTTATTAGGGGGCGGGGCAATAAATCACTCATTGCTTCCAGATACAAAGAAAAAAAGGAAGCTAAATATAGCCACCTTTAATGAATAGTTTATCTGTCAAACAGAAAATCTGGTGCCAAGTGATAAAGTCCTTTGCTGCCATGTTTATTTCTGAGTTATTTCCCTGAAGAATTGCTTAATGGGAGCGTTGGGAATTTCCCCTTCTTACTTTGGGTATTAAATGTTTGCTGTTTCTGATAGGTGGGCATTGGCTAGGAGGGGGAGAAGGTAGTGTTTTTGTGGTGGTTTACGTGAGTACACACTGATGCCTGCACAGAAGTAGTAGGTAGATGCTCTCTTGTAGATGCTCCCTAACCTGGCCGAGCATGGCCTTCCCGTAGCATGTGCACACATTCCTTCATTCATTCCCTCCCTTTTTAGGTGCAGGGGGTTATGTGGTGTTCCCCTGTTGGGAGTGGACTGACAGTGGTCCCGGAATATATGCACTCCTATTTCCTGGGGACCCAGCGCCCCTCATACACGCTGTGTGCCTTTGGAAGTGGATTTTCTTGCACAGCCTGAACTTGTAAGTCCCATACAGTAACCTCATCTGTAAGCCAGGGAACACAACGTGAATTTCCCTTTACTGGTGTGTAGTTAACACTATCACATTTCCTTTTTGTCCTACGAGATCTACTTTTTTGACAGGCACTTCTGGGTTTCCAATCCCTAGTCCCACAGAGCCATGTAGTTGTGTGGCTCTGGCATCATCTGCTTTTCTGGGGTATCTATATTATGCTTAAATGTCAGAGTACAGTCTTTTGAATTTTTTTTTTTGAATTAGATGTTGGTATGGATTGACTTTTTTTCTGTTTGTTAGTACTGGAGTTTGAACTCAGGGCCTCGTGCTTATCTGCTACCATTTGATACGTATCTCTATTCTTTATTTTTTATTTTTTGCTTTATATATTGGGATAGGGTCTCTTTTTGTTTTTGTTTGTATTTATTACCTACCTGTGTCTCCTGCAGAACTGGAAACAATACACTTGGCTCTTTTGTTGAAATGAGAACTTCCTTTTTGTGTGAGGTGGCCTTGAATTGTGATCCTCCTGTTTCCTATGTCCCCTCCAGCACCCTGATCATCTGCATCATTCTGGGGAAGGAAAACTACTTCCTTATGAATAAAAGTGGGAATGGGTAATTGGGATTATGATTTTATATTCTGCCTGTTATATAGAACATAGGAGTCAATATGCTTAAAGAATACGCACCTTCTCTCATTTTCTGTATGCTTGGCTCATGAGCTTTCTGGATTTAGAAGTCTGTTTCAGTTCAGATTTGTTTATATGAATTTGAACCACATTCTTATCCATTCTGCAGCAGGCTGCACCTTTCTGCTTAGACAGTCCTTTACTTGTGTGGGTTAGATCTTGAGGGCATGAGTTGGGGATGGCAGAAGTGAAGGGAATCTTAGATACATCTCAGTAGGGAAGTTAGTTGGCCCTTTTCTCATTCTTCAAAATACAGTTATCTGGACCCAGAAAGAGTCTCATGTGTTCCTGTAATCCCAGCTTGCTGGAAGGCTGAGGCAGGGCTCTGGGGCTAGCTTGGGCAAATGATAGTCTTAACCAAACCAACCAACCAGTTGACCAACCAAACAGTTTACTTGTAAAACTCCTTATCTATCCCCTTTCTTATTTATTTCTGGGTCCCATCCCAAGTAAGCTTAAAGGCATACGTTTATTTTGTGTTCCTATCTGTTCTGGTTTCACAGACCTCAGTTCTAACAGTAGCCTTTTTATGAAAGGAGAAATTGATGGTCAGAAGTTGAAATGACGGTGTTAAGGACACGATCAGTTTCACTGCGGGATCTTTTGTGTAATATGGAGAACAGGAAAAATGTTAAGAGGTATTTGGATTATAGTCTTACTACCTGAAAAGGTTAGGATAGGGCCTGGTTATTTGTGAATCAAGCAGTCACCCACAAACAGAGCAGGTTCTGCAAATCCAACAAACATATTTGATCAGTAGATGTTTATAGAGAGAAATGAAGAGGAGACACAAAAAAAACAATTTAATGGGCTCCAGTTTAGTCTATCCACCACTCCATTTACTTACATCTTAGCCCAGTAATTGTTTACAACTTAATCAGTTAATTGGCTACAGAGCTTGCTGCACCCAGCCAAGGTTAGTTACTGCAACTAAGCTCAAGTCTGCCCCACCTCTGCAGAGGTATTTTTTGTTTGGTAAGTTCCGTCGTCTTCCTAGCAGCTCCTCTGAAGCTGGCTTTGTTTTTTCTTTATTTTACAAAGAAGAAAATGGACAGGACCCTGTTTTACTCAGCATCTTAATAACAACAACAACAACAACAATTTGGGACTAATTAGTTTGAAGCACAGTGTACATTATAAAGCTTATGCACATATAAGTAGTCTAACAAATAAGTAAGTCTAACAGTTATTTAGTATGTGTTAGTGGGAAGAATTGATTGGCAAGGTAGGAGATGAGAAAATTTAGTTTTGATCTCTGGAAGGTTACAGGGTCAACTTCTAGTGCTCTGAATGGCTCATCTGTAAAATAATAGGTTGGATTGGAAGATAAGAGCATAAAACCTTCATTGTAGTTAAAAAAAACAAAACAAAACAGAACATTGACTGAAATTCTGACTTTGTTATTCTAGACCAATAAAGAAAGAATAAGTGTTGTGTAGGTGTGTGTTTGGAGTTCATTAGAGTCCCAGTTTCTCATCTCCTGGAAGGTCTTGGTTCAAGCATTACTTATTGGTGTTTGCAATTGAGGTGTCTGCACAAAGTGCATTATATGTTTCTTCATTTTCTTTCTGCTGGTCCCTCTCTTACCAAAGCTCTCAGGATGATACTATTCACTATTGTGTTTCCTCCCATCCTTATCTTAAATTGAAGAAGATACAGTTCCTCTAACCATTTTCTTTGCTTTTAAAAAGCACCCTTGATTTTGTTTGGGTGCATTTAAATATGAACATAGTCAGGTGGAGTGTTTTGTTTGAAGATAATTCCATTTCATTTTGATTCTGGGCACCTGTGATATTTGTCTTTGTACACATCCTTGCATTCAGGTGTGGGCTCACTACAAGAGAGATTTGCATCCCTGAAGGAGATGGGAGGGGAAGGGCTTTGATGGAGATTGCAGGCAGATGGAAATTCTTCATAATGGTGTAGAATTTTTTTGTTTTAGCTGCATCGGTGGGATTCTTTTTTTCCCCCCCTTCAGAAACATGTTATTTAGTAGTGTTATTTTTCTGGCATCATCTGCCTGGAAGGGTTTCTTACTTCGGATCCTCAGTACCACAGGTGATTTGTGGCTTGTGGATCAAGGTGTGGGAGATGAGTGAGGCCTTACACAGTGCTGTGGTTGGCTGGCAGAGAAACTGGCTTTGATGTAGGGATATTTATGTTTATCCCCAGGTTGGCTACCTGCTTACCTGTGTGTTTGCGGACCAGTTAGCATCTCAGGGCCTGAATTCTTTAACCTTGCAAAATGAGTACAATGTCCTGTAGCTCTGGGAAGATCAAATCAGACTATTCTAGGCTTATTCCTAGGACATATACCAACTCTTTGCATAGTTGGAACCAATACCACATGTTCCAATTCTTCCAAGAGTTTCACCTTGGGCACATGAAAATGTCTGCACTTCTTGAGTTCAATTTGCTTATTGTTGAGATGAGTATATCTATTGCCTGGTGGTATTTGGCAGATTAAGTAAAAACATATGTCAAGTATTTCATGTGTTGTGTTTCTTGGCCCAGGGATCATTGTGGACTCTAGTGAATATTATAATCTCTCTGGAGTTTTCTGTAGTTAGATCTGCCTTCTAAGAGAAGGAGGTTCTATTTATTCATCCACAAGGTCTCCCAAGTCTGTCACCTAGTATATACATCTGTCACCCTATGTTGGATGGGATGATGAGTTTGTCTAACTGTGGTCGCTCTCTCTTCCAGCATTGACTGAAGGCTATGTCGGGGCCCTGCAGGAGGACAGACACGGCAGCACAGTGCAGATCCGAAGGCGCAAGGCGTCAGGTGATCCATACTGGGCCTACTCCGGTGAGTTGAACTGTCCTGATGAACTATGCCATTGTGCTTTACTGGCAAGCCCAGGTTTCCCCATGTTCTCACCTGAACTCTGTCTCTGCAGTCTTTCATTCAATTGAAGTTTGAAATAGCCAAGCCTGCGTTTCCTCAGGTGTTAAGCACTCTTAATTCATCCTTCCACCTGTTTTCTCAACCTTTCCTCCCACCCCCAGCATTTATTCCCGAACTTCCCTTATTAATGCGTTATTATACCAAACTTGTAACTTTCTGAAAGGCACGGCCTACCTTTTAATGGTTGTGATTTCAGGATGTGGAAGATAACAATGGTCATCTTAAATTGCTTCAATGTCAGCTAAATATTACATATGTATCAGCTGCAGAAGGGAGTCTCATCTTCTATGAAGTACAACCTTTATTTTAGGTCCTGTTGGTTGAATGTATTGTAGTTCTTTACCATTGACTGCAGCTTTTTTCATGTTTATTTTTAGTCTCCACTTTTGAGAGAGTGAAATGAGAAAGCATTGTAATGAATATTACCCTGGAAATAATTCTCTTGTATTTAGAGACCTGTCTAGATTCTGGATTATGTTTCTCACAATGAGCAACAAGATTTTGAAGCTCAGAAATATATGGAAAAAGGATTATTGCTAATTAAGGAGGAATACTTAAACAGGAAGATAGACCACCTTGGAAATTTCTTTGGCACTGAATAATTCACATTTCTTGTATGAAAGAGCTTGGAGGCATAGAGAATTACTCTTCATAATAAATCTATGTATTATGCAATGTTGTTGATTATAGAGCTGGGAAATGTCCTTTTCATAGTCCTGAATTTCCACCTGCAAATCTTGTTAAATTTATGTCATTGTAAAATTTATAGGTCTGATCTTTAATTACACCTTATCTATTGGCTTTTTGCATCCTTTTGTCTATTGATAAATCTCCTGCTCCTGCAAGGAGAAGAAACTATCAGTTTTGTTTCGCTGCTAACAGATAGTTATTGTGAAGTCTTCCATCACACCCAGTTCTTGGTGATTAGAATGATCTAATTAGAGCTCTTTTTGTCACTATTTTTGATAAATGAAGGATATCGGGCCAGGAAGGACAAAATTTTATTACATATTATTTTTTATTTATTTAGTATATTATCTATTATTTTACACACACACATATCTATCTATATCTACCTTTATATCTATCTCCTCTTGCTAAGGAGCCCAAAGCAAATTTATTATTTTGTACTCTGTGGCTCTGATATGAGACAGAAAGTGGCCTGCTGTTTATAGTTCATCAATTTAGAATAATAATGCTGTTAGTCAGGGAATTGGAAGTTATATCCCATCAGCATCTCTAATTGTAAATGGCAGTGAAGAGATGAAAAACCTAAAACTTCTCCCATTATTCAGTTACAACAGGACTTAGGTGGTGCCATCTTTGGGAAAGAGCCATTATTGATGTCCTTGTCTCTGGAGGTGAGGGCTAATTGATCTCCATTTGTACGTGTGGAATGTGTTTTGACTAAATTTGAGTCCTCCCTTTATATTTGGAAGGCCTCATGATTCAAGTTTAGGGATTGGCACACTTTTTGCAGAAAGATCTAGATAGGAAATGTCTGATATTTTTCAGACCATATGGTCTCTGTCGTAGCCGCTCAGCTCTGCCATCACAGCACAAAAGCATCTACAGATAATTCTCTCAGACTGGCTGTCTTCTCATAAAACTTTATGAACACCAGAATTTGAGTCATATAATTTTCATGTGTCAGGAAATAATCTTTTGATTTTTTTCCCTGAGCCATTTTAAAATACAAAAAATCCCATTCTTCCTTTGCATGTTTTGCAGAAATATGTTCCCAGTTGGTTTGAGTTCACAGGCTATTATAGTTTGTTAATCGTTGTTTTGGTAGATTTCTTCTCCTGTGCAATTTATATAGGACAGTCAGTTAGTTATTTTTCAAAGGGCTATGAGGTGGTTTAGCAGAATCGGTAACATCATTGTTAGTGTGATGGAGAAAAGGATAAGACAGAGACTGGTTCAAGCCTGAAATATTCAGCACCAAAAGTTAAAAGTCAGGTGTAGACTCTTCTGCCATCATATGCACACACATTCAACAAGTTTTGAGTTTTGTATAGCTTAGATTTTGGATTTTTGAGTTAGGTAGACATATGTACAGGTCTTTGTACATAAGCGGTTCTGCTGAGAAATCTACCGTGCCAGTGGTTTAGTATTGTCCTTAGTCCATGAAGAGTTGAGGTCCCTCAGCTATACTTCTTAGTGTCTAACCAATAAACAAAGAGCAGGAAGGTGTAAGAGTTGGGATTTGTCTTGATGAATTAGGTCCAGTGCCTTAAAACCATGGCAGAGTAGATATAAGTTTATTAGCTACAACAGTATAACTTTGGGCATAAATTTTGCTTTCAAAGCAACCCCAAAGAAAAGCCCTTTCTTCGTTGAGAAAATGTTTATAAATTTTTCACAGTTAAATGAAGCCATTGTTCAAAAATTGGTTTATTGGTTCGTTTTCTAATCTCACATCTGCCATTCTCCAGTGAGATATGGCCATTTGGTGCTTTAGGAGTGAGAAGCGTGTAAGAGTATGAAATTTTGTAGTTATATTTTTAAACCTTGGTTCTGATAGCAATATAACCATTATGTTTTTTGAAAGAATCCTTAATTGCTTGGAGTATTGGTTTTCATTTGTGAAGTAGTGATAATATTCCTTTCCTTAAAGGGTTTTGTAGGGATAAAGAAAGATGATGTGTATGAAAAGTTTTAACACAGTCTCTGCCGGGAATCCAGTACTAAATAATAACTGCTGTTTTTGGCACTGTTAAGTCATCAACTGTTGTTGATGTTGCTATTACTGGATTTTTCCTTGGGTTGTCAGTTTACAGTGGGTGACTACTAGATAACACTAAGAGTTGAAGAAGCAAGAGTCAGTCAAATTTACAAGATTTCCCATTCAGGATTTGGGAATTGGTGTTAAGTTTACTCTGAAGTTCAAAGGTGGGCAAAGTACAAAACTACAGCTTCTCTTTATAACTCAACTTTTATTAGAACACAACCATTCTTATGACTTTACTTATAGTATGTTGTGTTTTGTGCTATAATACAGAACAAAGTGTTTTTGACCCATACCTTTTGACTGAAAGTGTTCAGATACGATTTGTCTTTACAGAAAAAGTTTGTCAGTTCTTTTGATGCAGCCTGCATTTTGAATAGTTCTTGAGTTAATTGAAGAACTGTTCAGGGATGGAGAAGAGATCATTTAATTTCTTTGCATTTCCGTGGAGCTGGAATATTCTCAGTAAGCCTTTTGGATAGCATTCACAGTGATTATAGTGATCTTATTTTGGAAAGGCTGAGTGGCATTTGATATGTTTTGGGGAGTGGGTCAAGGAGATGAGTGACTGGTTACTATTCTGGGTTGCTGTATCTTGTGCCTTAGGTTGCTGTGGTGTAGGGTTGGGTTTGGTAGATGATCCTAACATCATTATGTCAGTGGTATACTGTAAGGTCCGTTCCTGGATGGCAAGCAGACTCCACCTTCCTCGCAGCGAAGTCTCTGCCCAGTACCTGCGTTACCTAGGCAACTGGCACACCTGAAAGAGGTCACATCTGCATCCTCTGAGGTCACATCTGAATTTGATGTGGCCACACCTTTCTCTGCTCATGCCCTGTATAAGGCCTAGCCTAGGCCCAGATGCCCTCTTTTCTAGCTATTTTCTAGCTCTTTCCCAGGCCTTTCTCAGCCACGTGGAGGCCTGGGAACCAGCCTGGTTCCAGATGGCCTGGCATCAGCCAGAATGATGAATAAACCTACCCCTTACCTGAATACCATGTGCGTGGTGCTGTTCTTACTTGATCACCTCTTTTTTACACATATTATCCCAGTCACTTATGAGAGTTATATAGGAAGTTTAGAGGTTCTTTATAGGATATTGTCATGAGTGAAGTTCATTAAAATTAGGGTGACCTTTCTGTTTTCACTTTAGGACTAACCAAACTAGTTCATTTTTACTGAATTACTTTGCATAATGCAGATATCCTGTTTCTATTTGAAATATTATAAAAGCTATACTTTTATAGACTAATCAGACAGTTCCTTTGTTAACAACTACAGTTTTAGCATAGAAGTTGATTAGGTTTAGGAACCTGTTCTAGATTCATTGTGGCTATTTGAAGATGGGTTACCTCTTGTTCTTTATTTGATCTGTTGTATAAAAGGGTCATACCATCTGAGTTTAATGTGGAAACACTATCCATAAAAGATAAGAAGTAGAACATAAGACATTGTGGTTCTCTGTTAGTAGTATCCATGTCATTTCAAGATTGCTTTCTATCTTTGCATTCTTTTTCTTTATGCCAGGGAAGTGGGGGGGAGGGGGAAGAAAATGATCTCTTTATTTCATGCTGATTTATACCAGAAAAGAAAATGCAGTTGCTTCAGGCATCTCATTAGAAATCATAAAACAATTCCTCGCTGTTGATTTTACATAGCTAGAGATGTAGGTATTTTTCTGTGTTACTGCAGGTGATGACAGCTTATGATTTTTGGAATTTTCCCAGAATTTCTATAATTATTCCATGAAAAGTAGCACATGTTGGGTAGGTCACCATTGCTGGGAAGAGAAATAAGAAGCAAATCTGGAAGAAGTTCAAGTGGAGATTTAATGCATTTTTGTAAACTGATCTACATGTTGCCCTTCAAATTCTTACTTGGAAAAGAGAAAAATCTTGTCCCTTCCCCCAGATTCTTACTGTATCTTTAATACTGTCTCCTGTTTCTTCCATGAATAAAGAATTTCTGTGAATCAATACAAAGGAGAACTCTCTTATCTTTAGAGGAATCCAAAATTTTGATAAGCAAAATTCCCTGCAAAAAGTTAATGCATTGGGCCAGCTGAAGGTCAAATGAGATTATTCTAAAAAGCATTACTTCCTCTGGCAGGGACAACCAAGGTCCTTTCTAATGGCTTTGGTGTTGATGACCTGCTCCACTGTAAAAACCA